GCATTTTTCCTCAAAATCAGGTTTTTTGTTGCTACTGCTCAACAAAGTGCTTCAATATTTTGTTTTGTGATTATATTTCAGACAGTTCATTCAAATGATACATGGATAAGGCATTTTTTCATTATATTTTGACAAAATGCAATTTTTGTTAACATTTTAGTCAAAACACTATATTTGTTTATTTCTCCTTAAACAACTTTTAGACTTAATCCTGGTTTCGATGTGACGGGTCAGATTTGATGAGATTAATAAATATTTTTGAAATGTTTGTCAAAGCAGAGATTTTAAAAACTCATGTATTTATGTGGACCATCGACCACAGTGAGTGTCCCCAGATTATCCAGTTGTTGGGAATTGAAGCCAGTAGGACCCTGTTTGCCATGTTGGATTTTTGGAACTAACATGACTAAAACACTAAAACTGCCTGGCTTTAGGTTCTACCTATCCTCTTACATACTATCATGGTGTTACCTGTCTTTTATTTTAAGCATGAAACAATAATTATAGCTAAACACATCTGTCTTACACAAAAAGCTATGACGTTGATGGGAGTCAAGCACCATCCCTCACTTCAGACCATTTTCAATGAAACAACAARCAAACAGGCCCAGAAAATCCTCTCAGACCTGACTCATATTCTTTATCCAGAGTACCAGTTTCTTCCTTCAGGTTAGGGTTAGGGTTAGGGTCTCAGAGTTCCTGCATGTAGACTGAACCACTACAAGAACTCATTTGGTCCACTTTCTATTAAAGCCATGAACAGTAACAAACAGTAACCATGAATTCTGATTTTAAGCAATGATGTTTATGATTTTACATTGTACAAACATGTTTCTTTTATGRACTCTCTCTCTTGAAATGTTTTATTCTAAATATGTGTTTTATGCGAGGATGTAAAGTGTCTGTGTTGTGAGTTGTTRGAGCTGTGTAGCAGTCAGGTTCTGAACCCAAGACAAATTTCCTTCYGGACAYTAAAGTTAATCTTACCTTATCTTATCTAAATATGTTGTAAAAGTTTATATTTAAACATAGCAGTAWGGAGAGAGCAGTATTGAAACCAGTGACTTCAGGTCTGAATTCTTAAGGGATGTCTGGCTGTCTTAAACTGTTGAAGAGATGTCCATCTGTATTTTGATATCTCGCCAATAATGTGGACATTTTTGCCACCTAGTAGCACAGCAAGTCTACTATATCACCTGCTTCGGATGTTATCATCCATTAAATGGACGTTATTAGTCGTTATCAGCCCATAGGATGGCTTCAGACTGTCAGCTGGTTAAAATGAGGCGTTAAACCACTAAGGTTAATTCTAGAGAAAATGACATGGGCTACGATAAAGTAGACCGGACTCCGGTGGTAGCAGATTGTTGCATTCCAACGTATATGGCCCTGATAACCCACTAGGGGGCACTGTCYGGACAGTCTGAAGCCATTCTATAGGACTGATAACCACTAATAACATCCATTTAATGGACTGATAAGATCCGAACCGGCTGACTATATTTGAAATGTTAAAATGAAATCCCTTTTAGTAACCCACTGCATTTCAAGAAGCCTCCATCTTCTCCCAGTCCTACATCATGCTGCAGGTTTTTACCCACTGCCAGAACTTCTTTTTGCTTCGTTTCACATGATCTCACCTCCATCTTGAGACTCTATAGTGATGATGCCCTCCCTCTCAGGACCGAAGCCCTGCGTGGTTCTAGCCTGAACCTTGAACTTATAAGGAACGTTCTCAGTCAGGTTGGGAACAGTCAGACTGGTCTCAGGGCTGTCACCGTTCACCTGGAAGGTGCGCTCAACACCTGGAGGAAACAGCAAAGAGACTAGGATTAAACAGMAATCTCTTACAACAAAGATTACAACTTTACGACATTTTCTTCAGATCACAACTCAAAACTCACCTAATCAACCTGACCTACCCACCATATGCCCTTCCCATTTTACAGTTATTTGTTATGCTGCCCGTATCAATTCAAATAGAATTTTTTTTGAAAAGCATCTTTGAGTGTCTGAAAAAAGTGCTATATAAGTTTGATATATTATTG